TTATATGACTGTGTGTGTGTGTGTGTGTGTGTGTGTGTGTGTGTGTGTATATATTACACAGCCATATAAATTGAACACTTTTATTGAGTACATGAAGTTATGTAATTATATAATTATACATTTTGCATATTTTATATAATTATAGTTATATAACAAAAATTTTAAATTATTTACATTTTATTAATTATTATAAAATAAAATAGCATATTAGAATGATTTCTGAAGGATCATGTGACACTGAAGACTGGAGTAATGGTGCTGTAAAATTCAGCTTTGCATCACTGGAATAAATTACATTTTAACATATATTACAATAGAATACAATTATTTTAAATTGTAATAATATTTCACAATATTATTTACTCTATTATTTACAAAATGTAGGACATAAGAGTCTCAGTATATATAATTATAATAAATTATAATAATAATTATTATTACAATATATTTTAACATAAAAATTATAATTATCATATAATATTTTTATTATCATTAAAACTATCATTTAACATCTAACCCTGTTCCCTGAACTGTACACAAAATCCAATTAAAAATAAATAAATAAATAAATAAGCACTTTGTTTTTATGCATGATGCTAATGGCAGGAGATGCTGAAAAAACAGCAAGATGCATAATGGATTGCAGGTCAGTGATATGATTTATGTTCAATGATATGGACATAAAGCAAACAACAACATATATGCTGACACTGTTTAATGTCTGCAGCTCTAGTAGAAATCTGTTTTTTTTTTCATAGATGCCTCTAAGAAAATGCAGTGCAAATGGAGATAAGAGATCTACTGAGGAGAAAAAGATGGAAAGAAGGAGAGGGAAAAGAAGAATAGGATGGCGAGAGAGGGAGAAAGTGACGCGTGATGGGTCGCCAGGAGAAATGGCCAAATGCTTAACCCACAAATGTGAAGCCTGAATCTGTTCAAAGCATTTTTGGCTGGTCTCTAAAGGAAACAGAAGGAACGTTTTAAACCAGGCAGCCAAAGAGGAGCTTTCTGAAAGGGGGGAGCATGTCTACAACATTAGAAGTGATATTGAGAGGGAAAGTTATATGGGACAGACAGCAGTACCCAGTGCTGGAAGAGAGGAACCACAAAGTCTTCTATCTCTCACTGAGAAGTACAATGTAAGAAAGCCAGAGTGACTACAAACAGAACCAGCAAAAAAGAGAATGAGAGATGGACAGAGAAAGAGAAAGAGGCACAGATGGTTGCTGAAATGTGTGAGTGCTCTAGTTTAGGATGTCATCATTATTACGTGTCAACGATAAATGCCAGAATTGAAATTACGGCACCTGCTTATTTCTCCAACACAACTGCCCAGCAAGCATAAAACATTTCAACAGCTTTGCATTTTGGTTGTAGTTATAGTACAGTAGGTAACGTTGCAGAACATTTTTAAAACCTTCTATAAACACGGCTACATTTAAACATAACTAAAACAAGTGAAGAAACATTGTGAAAATAGCTACCTGGTCATATTTCCTTAAGTGGTTTTAAAATGTCAGTGTAACAAGTTCTTACTGTGAAAACAAAAACAGACTAAACGGCAACATTTGTGAGATGTTATATTTACAGTAGGCTGTAAATAACATAATACAACCAGGTCACATTACAACATTATTTGTCTCTGTCAGTGTTGTTGATGTTAACTAAAAATAAAACTACAATTAAAAAACACTGTTGTTTTCATTAATTGAAATAGCTTCATTAATTGAAATAGCTGAAATAGCTAATGGTTAGAGAGTCTGACTTGTAACCCAAAGGTCGTGGGTTCGAGTCTCAGGTCCGACAGGAATCAGTTAGGGGAGTCAATAATCAGTGTTGTCTTCCACCCTCGATACCACGACTGAGGGGAGACCCTTGAGCAAGGCACCGGACCCTCAGTTGCTCCTCGGGCGCCACAGCAAAAAAAATGGCTGTTCAGTGTGTGTGTTCACTACTCACTGCTGTGTGTGTGCACTTGGATGGGTGAAATGCAGAGCACAAATTCTGAGTATGGGACACCATACTTGGCCACACGTCACTTTCACTTCACTTCACTGAAATAAAACAAAATCTAAATGTTAAAACAAAATATAAATAACTAAAACATTTAGCTAAAATAAAAGTTTAAGTATACTAAAATTACTAAAGCTAAAATAGAAATAGAAATAATTAAAGCTATATTTAACGGAATGTTTTTAAATAGAAATATTTAAAAGAATAATAAAATGATAAAAGCATATAAGAAAATATAAAAATAAAAGCTCATTCAAAATATGAATAAATGCTATAATAGTATATAAATAGTTCTAAAATAACACAGAGTCCTTCAAAAAAATAAACAAAAATATTAAAATGTACATAATAATAAAATATATGTATTATGTTAAAAACTTAAAACACATATGTAATATAACTGAAATAAAACAAGCTAAAGTCGAGGTACTAAAATAACTAAATAAAAATAAATTAAAGCTTAATTGTTTCAAAAACTGATAAAAATGATGAAAGTACATAAGAAAATTACTAAAACAAATAAAAACTGAAAATATGAAATAAAACCTAATTCAAAATATGAATAAATGCTATAATAGTATAATACTAAAATAACAGTCTGTCAAAATAAATAAATAAAAAATAAAAAACATTACATTTTACCTAATAATAAAATATATTTATGTTAAGAAACTTAAAACACATCAGTAATATTAAGGATGCTTCATATAATATTAATAATTTTTACAATACATTTACATATAACTTTATTACAAAACATTATGACAACCTTTTAACAACTTAAAGTAAATGTTTATACAACATTGTTGTGCTTGCTGGGAGTTTCTCGGTTTACCTCAAAGGACCTTTTGTATGACCACTCCGATGAGCGCGTCATATTCATCTTCACTGGCTGATCTCCACTCATGTGGCTGAAATGGGACAGATACATAGATCCATTTGGCAGATATTTGAAAACAGAGCAATCATCTACTGCAAATAAAAAGCAGCACGAAAACATAATTCTGACCATTTTTAACCCAAATACATGCTGTTTTTTGTGCTTCTGCTTTTCAAATTAAAATGCTAAGGTGTTATGAGTATTTGCCATTTTTAGTGTTTTGTAATATCACACCTTTCTCAATAAGCTGCATGATTTGAAGTGACACTTGACTTAGCAACCACTTGTATGTTTTGGTGGACAGCTGTTATTGGTCAGTGGAAACCCTCCATCTTTGCTGCAATTTGCGGCCCCTTGCAAATTGAAACCTCATCAGATGGCCGTGGCCGTACTCTGCTGCTCTGATTTTTTCCATCACTTTTGCCTCTAAGTAGAGAATTGATCTGCGACATTTAATCTGATTTTCTTTTCTTTTTCGGCTTTGATGTGCATGTTCACACTGAGATGGAGATGGGCTTGTTTTGTGCTCATATATTTGGACTCCTCCCTGTATGAGAGAAACACACACTTTGCACTTTTGTGAGAGTGTTAATAAAGTGTGTCAGGCAAATAATAAATGTAATGCAAGCAAAGTTTTTGCTGTTCAGGTTCTGGATTATTCGTTCAGAGAAGGCTGACTGTTGTAGCTGACAACTGGAAAAAAACAAACATACAGCTGGGAAGACTCTGATGTATATAAAAGTGAGAAAATTGCAATGTCCCATGGTTTTATACAGTAATAGAACACGAGAGATGCCCTCTAGTGGACATGAACGGTACACTGCATGTTATAAGGCATCCAAGTCGTAAGAAAAAAGAACAAAGAATTTTTATTATTATTATTATTATTATTTAAACTAATATAAAGCATACACACATATTATATATTAATAATATTATATATTAATTATGTGCGCATATATAGGCTACACACACATTAAAAGTAACAAAAGAACAAACAAATCTAAACAGTATGTACTGATTTTTATTAAATTATATAGCCTATGTATATGTGTGTATATATAATCAAATTCTATATACACTCTAAAAAATGCTGGGTTATAAAGGGGCAAACCCAGCTATTGGGTTGTTTTGACCCAGCGAATGGGATGTTTTGAACCCAACCGCTGGGTCAAAAAAACCCAACCGCTGGGTCAAAACAACCCAACCGCTGGGTCAAAAAAAACCAACCGCTGGGTCAAAACAACCCAACCGCTGGGTCAAAACAACCCAATAGCTGGGTTTGTCCCTTTTTAACCCAGCGCTGGGTTATATTTAACCCAGCATTTTTTAGAGTGTATGTTATATATACTAAAACATTATGTTGGTAGATTTTAGAATTGAGTAATATAAATAGGTTATATAAAATGTAATAAAGGCAATAAAACATACATGAATTATTTTAGTTATTATTATAATTATTATTATTATTATAGTACAGTAGCTGTTTATTTAATCCAGTTTGGTGTTGGGTTTCTGATGTAGGATTCCGTGACGTTGCTCTCCGTGGGTTCTCCGCTGAGGTGGGATTCAGAGCGGAGCGCAGCGCGCATGCGCAGAAGGGAGAGGTATGGTTGAAAACCCGAAGTCCATCGCGCTCAGCAGAAGAGAAGCAGCACAACTAAATGTGACTTATCTGAGCATCATCATCATCACATCTGCGCCTCCGGGAGACAAAGAAGAGACGAACTCTGAAGGCGCAAACAACGCGATCAGAGCCTCCCGGAGTGATATGATATCGTTATTATTATATCTCTCGACGTGACGACTGTTTGTCTGCTTCTAATGTTTCCAACCCACTGAGAGCAGGGGGATTTATTCCTTCTTTTGTTCTTTGCTTTTTTATTGACTTATTAATAAAAGCAGCCAAAACGAATAAATACGGGTCATTATGGTTTTGTTAACACTGCATAATAGAAGAGGGTTGAATTGCTTGTGCGCGCAGTTCTTGCTGTGGATTTTATGTGCTGTGGACGGTGAGGAGCAGCAATTCAGTGTGGAGGTAAGAGATCCACAGAAGAGACGATGTTGATGGCACTCACATCTCTGAATACACGCATAACTGCGCTGGATTGAGTCATTCTGCATGCAAACTACTAATGCAGTTTGCCGATTCAAGCTTTGCACGTCTCGTCTCTCTATAACACAACAAATGAAAGTTTATCAAATGACAACAATGCTACAGAATGCAGATGAATGGCTTGCATTGTTATTTCTGAGACTTGGTGTATGTTCAATATTATAGATGACGACAAGATCGAAGGTTTATGATTTATACAGCAACTTGTTAATGAAATAAATGTTAAAAATGCTAATGTATCACACAAGATACAAGGGATCACAGTCTAAATTGGTGTTCAAGTTACAGTGCAGTTGCTTAGTAAATAAAAATCAGCCTGCAACTTATGAGGCAAATCGTACACTTTTGTGAATATTATCACTATTGTAATGCATTAGGCTGTATTTACTCAGAACATGTTGCTGTTACTTAAATCTATAGCTAATTAATTCAAAAACGTAGTGAAGTGCTTGTTTAGTTGCACCCACCCATGACTTATTATGTGGCACAATAAGAGTTGCTTCAGAGGAAAGATGACTTTAATCTTCTATAATTCTGGTCCAAAAAGCTTGCATGCTCTCTTTTCCTGCTGTTTTGGACACAAACACACACACACACACACACACACACACACTGAGGTTTGTTCTGTTGGCACAATCTGATTCACCAAAGGGTGGAATAAATCAACTCGACATGACTTGATATCCGGCCAGTAACCAAAGAAGTCAACCTGTCATTACAGCCTAAATATTGTAACGGTAAACATGCTGTTACAGTTCAGCTTTTCGTTTTTTATTAGAAATGCAATGGCATTTCATGCAAAGCAGCAAAGAAAGCTTTTGCCTTTGAAACGTGCCAACATTATAAAAGTCCGAGTTCAGCTTTTCATTTTTTATTAGAAATGCAATGGCATTTCATGCAAAGCAGCAAAGAAAGCTTTTGCCTTTGAAACGTGCCAACATTATAAAAGTCCGCTGTGAATTTACAGTCGGTCAGAATTTATGCTCAAATGAGACAGCTGTTTGTGTTGTTTGGAATAGTGAAGTGTGTTCAGGACAAAGTTTTTCTCCTCAAGCGCTGGACGGTGTTGCAGAGGCAGACCGCCTGTTTATGAGCTTGACAGTTGTGTCAGATGCCCTTTATGTCTTTAAGGAGCCTAAAATCTGCGGCAAAGCAAACAATAGCTTGAGACGCTTTAAATTTTCATCCTGACAACCGTTATTCTTTCTGTTTCTCGGAAGACTGCTATTTTAGACCCTTTGAGATTAGAGGCTTTCTCAGGACAGCAGCAACTCCATGACATTTTACAGTACCGTGTACTTTAAAGTCCCCAGTCACCATGTATTTAAGCATCCCATTGTATAAATGAGTATTTTGAGATAACTCAATGAGAAGCAAAGTGGAATACAGAGTATATGAATCAAATCAACTTGACTGACTTGGATTTCTTCTTAGAAATAAAGGTTCTTTATCGGCATTTGGTTCCATGAAGAACCTTTAACACCCATGGAAACTTTCCATTCCACAAAAGGATACTGGAAAAGGGTTCTTCAGATTATTAAAATGTTCTTCATACTACACTCTTACGTAACCATTTTTATGTTCCTCAAAGAACCTTTTAGTGAACAGTTCTTAAAAGAACCATTTTTTTCTTAGTGAAGATTTAATAATCTAAACAACCTTTTCCACTATAAAGAACATTTTGTAAATTGGATAGGTTCTATGGATGTTAAATGTTCTTTGTGGAACCATAGATGCCAGTAAAGAATGTTTATTTTTAAGTGTACACTCTTAAAAACAAAAGCTTCCAAAAAACGGACTTTCACAGCGATGCTACAGAAGAACCATTTTTGGCTCTCCAAAGAACCTTTCAGGGAACAGTTCTTCAAAGAACCATTTTTTGAGCATTTCAATAATCTGAAGAAACTTTTTCCACCATAAAGAACCAATGCAATGGAAAGTTTCCACGGATGTTAAAGGTTCTTCATGTAGCCATACAGTATGCCAATAAAGAACCTTTATTTTTAAGAGTGAAAGAAAGGTTCTTCTATGGCATTGCTGCAGAAACAAAGGACAGTTCCCTCAAAAATGCAAATTTGATCTTCATTTACTCATTAAAACCAATAGACTACACAAAATTTGTCCATACAATGAAAGCCAATGGTGCAATGTTTTTGAACCTCAACATTCTTCAAAATATCTTATTTTGTGTTCCTTGAAGTCATACAAGTTTGGAACTACATGAGGGCAAGCAAACGAGGGCAGAACTTTGATTTTAGGTGAACTGTCCCTTTGAGAAAGCCTTGTGTGAATCTACATTCAATCTGCCAGGGTAAAAGAGCATCAATGAGACAGACAGAATGCATTTTCCACTTGTCTGATGTTATAAAAGGACACTGATGTAAAACATTGAAGTTTATTGGTGCGGTTTGGCTTATAGGCTCTGCTGGTGTGGCAGTGGCAGAGGGTTATATTGGTAGCTTCCTGTGCACACAAATACATTGGCTTTAAAGGGATAAGACTAGTCTCTGTCTTTCTAAATGACAGATCTGTAGTTTAACCTAAATCTGTCCAGGTTTTGATGGCGATGACATTATGACCGTCTCTGTTGGACTGAGGTCAGGAGCTGATTGGTTACTGGGCGACAGCGTTACCTCAATTTCCTGCCTTCCTTGCAGTTCCACATGATTAACATTGTTTTACCAGACACATTAAACTATTCAAACGTACAGTGTACACACTCTCAGTACAGTAGACAAGGTCTCTCTCTCTTGCTCGCTTTCTGTCTCTGTGTGTGTGTGTTTTGGAGAGAGACATTATTAATAGTGTGTGACAGACAGACAAAAGAGGGATTTAACTAGTGTGCGGCGAAGGCAGTGAGGTGTGTTAAAAAAGAAACCATTGGCAAACTATTTGGTCTTTCAGAAAGCCAAATTATTAAAAGCTGACAATGGACATGTAATCTTTTCTTGGCAGTTCTCGCGCTCTCCATACATATTGCTCTCTGCATTGTGTCATCGTATGCATTTCCAGGCGAGATTGTAGTGCTCTGCGCTTTATGTAGCATGTTGCGTTCACACATGGTCTCTCTGATGTCAGTTTGGCTCTTTACGGCGAGCAGATTTTCACCGTGGAGGGGACGACACATCCGTCTGTTTATCTGTCCTGCGGGAACCGAGTGCACCAGTGCAACCCAAACGCGTGGTTCTGTCTGTGTGCAATGTCTATTTCTAGCTTTCTTTCTCTCCGGACGGTATTTTCTGTCTTTTTTGTCTCACTCGCGCCGTCTCTTGCTGTTTTCCTTGGCGCAATGTTAGTGTGCCGAAAGAGACTGTTGCTCTTCAATCTTTAATGGCACGGGTGATTGCTGATATTGCTCTCTGGAGGTCTTTACAAGGCTTTCAGTTGAAGAATGGCCTCACAGAACCAGCCGAGGAATTATCTCCCGGGGACACAACTGATTTATTTTTTAATTAAAAAGCGAGATTTATTAAATGGAAAAGTTGTATTTATATAAATCGTTTGGATTATGGAGGCGTTATTTCATTCATTGTATAGATTCAAGTCATCATGTCTTGTGAAAACGCATGCAGCAAGCTGTAAAATAGCAACAGAGCTGTCAGTCTACAAAAAACGTCACTGTGAACAGATAAAGCTCTGTCACACCTCTCCAACAAAGGCGTATTCTCTCCAGAATGACATGTTTGAATGATGTTTGTCACTTCGTATAACATGATGTGTGTGTGAATAGGAGTCAGATAGAGTTCAGCCTCTGTCTTTCTGTTGCAGGCTCTTTCATTTTGCTAATGTTATGTTAAAACAAAAGCGAATGTTATTTTTACCGACATGGCTACACTGATTCACCCCCAAAATACACATGAATACACTGGAATTAAGAATTAAAATACAGTAAAATATAATATGAAATAACAGTTTCCAAACTGTCATGTGCTAAATAATATTGTTATATAATATATAAATATAACTAGTGTACGGCAAAATTTTGTGTATATGTAACATTTAAACTATTTCAATTATTAAAAATCTGTAGCATCACATACCTATAAACTACAATATTTACCTACAAACATTTCATTATGCTGCGAAAAACACTGTGCTGAGACTTTAATGAACATTTTTGAGTGATTGATAACGCAAATTAATTACTGAATCAGAGTTGAATTGATTCATAGAAATGGCCAGTTTGAACTGATTCAGACAAATTGAACAAAATCTGATGCTACTTCGAAAAATCTATTTCAAAGATATAGATTTAAAAGCTCTCATACTTAAGAGTCATAACAAAAGGAAGGATCGTCATCTCAAATATGTCATAAACAATATATATATTGCCCAGCCCTAGTTGTATGCCAGTGTTTTGGGGTTGAAAATCACTTTGTGAGACTTCCATGAACACTTTTGAGTGATGATGCAAATGAATCACTGAATCCGAGTTAATAGATTCATATAAATGGATAGTTTGAACTGATTCATGTAGATGAATTGAATAGCAACTCTGATGCTACTTTGGAAAATTGGCACGATTAAAACTGTTCTAAAGTTATCATACCTGACGATCCTTCCTTGGCTCTAATCTCAAATATTTTGTAACTATTCATTATATTGCCCAGGCCTAAATGTACACCAGCATTTTAGGGTTGATCAAATTGATTAATTTAAATGGACCATTTGAACTGATTCATGCAAATGAATTGAAACAAATCTGACTAATATAATACTAATACTAATACTCAAATATTTCAAATATATTCAAAATATCACCCAGCTTTAATTGTATGCCAGTGTTTTGGGTTGAATGGGTCATATTAGGCCTATATTTAACTAATCTGTTCTGAGTACCAGGTGCAAAATCACATTATTCAGAGCCACACTTTGGGTTTTCTCACACTCATACAAGCCACTTGCACATATAATACACACAT